GCCATCATTTGAGATGGTCCCCAAAATAATGAGTTTGTCTGCGTGGTTGTGTGTATGCAGCTAATGCTCCCACCTTGAAAAATGAAATATAATGCCTAGGTTTTCTATGTTTTAGAATGCCTGTGTGTGCATGAGGAGCCCACTCTTTCTCAGGCTGTCACTGTAATCGCATTAATGGGACTGAGAGTAGGAGTCTAACATGATCTGTCACATGGGAGGAGGCCGACGAAGCCCCCCTGTGTGTGTATTTCAATAGGTATATGTGTATATAGACTGTAATGTATGTGTGTTAAACACCCCCTTTCATCTCTAAGAACGTTTCTGAATGGTATCTTATCAATCTAAACTCCTCACATCAAACAATGCTAGCTAGAGGCTTTGTTCATGGAAGTGTGCTTAAGAGCTGCTGGGTTTTCTTCTATATCTGTAGTCATTTGTAGAAATACTGGTTGTCTGATAGTCACAGTGTATATGCTCCTGCTTGTTCTCTTGTAGTGTATCAGCCAAACACTTAATTCCATAATTCTTATTGTTTGTTCCTTTTGTCCAAAAAAGTAAACTAAAAAGTATTTCATGATCACCTTATGTCACTTAAGGCATTTCCCTTTCAACAGGAAAGCTTTACATATCCTGAAATTACACATTTAGAATTTCCTTTCCTTTAATTTGGAATCCTCTCATTCCTTTCCAGTACTTTATCTAGTATGTTAGCATAAACAGCAAGCTAGCAGAATTAGCGTTGTCTTGTATCATTTACTACGCAACTCTGGTCATAAGCCAACTAGCTGTCTGATGACTAGCGCTAACATTTTTGCTCAATATGGAACGTAAACATGTTTCCAGTTTTAATTATTTAACATCAAATGGAATGTATTGTATCTTATAGTATCAATTATCTCATACTAATTCTTGAAAGAAACTTTACGTGTCTCACTGTAAACATTTTTTGCCATTTCATTGTTGGTTTTGACCTCCAGGTCAACCAAAATCCTTCCTTGAATGTGTATTCATTTAATTAATAAAAAAACAAAAACCTGTGTGTTTTAATGTTAAGGGCCTGGTGACAAATCGTGCGAAACTCACTCATGTAAAAGTACCTCTGTAATCCTCTCCATTCTGGTACGTCTTAGTGTTTTTACTTCTTAGAATTCCCCCAACTGGCTGCATCTGTCATGGCAGATTAATGTGTTGAGTTATTAACACAGGTTCTCACTTGGTGCCCTGGGGGCCCATGATCTGTGTGGGAGTGAGTGTGTTCCAGATTTGATATTTGCTATTAGTAATAACTCTTCGCTATGCAACAAATATATAATAAACCAAATATTATTCACAGCTCAAAATCACCAACAAATTCTGAATTGCACTTTGAAGTTGCATGAAGGGAGGTTTTGCATGTGTGTGTGTATGAGTGCATGATTGTGCACCTTTAGGAAGTGGCGGGGTTATATTTCCTGGAGCAACAGCCTGAGGAGTGTGTGTCACCCTAGAAGGTGGATTAGCTGCTGTAAATCCACAGCGCTGAAGGGCAGCCCTTATTCACCCAGGAGAAACAAGTGTTTTGGGTTAAACCACGGAGTGAAGCCTGCCAGATCATAATCACAGCTAAAGTCAGTCACACTAATAACACATCAGCAGGGTGCGCTTCACACTTAGCTTATCCCTCACCTGTTTACCGTTAGCAGACACACGTGATACCAGAACTTGTATCATGTGAATATGTAAAAATGCTCCAAATAGAGATCTATTGTGCCACAACACACCTCTATTTTGAGGAACATCATTGTTGTAAGGCTCAGATGTACTTGACCTTGTTTTATTTAAGAACACCATCAGAAATGTAATGATACACAACATTGATTAAAACAATTGCAGCAGCTTTGCAGGTTTTGAATTTGCACTTACCATTTCACAAACCATACCATAAAGACAGCCACTGGGTTTTTTACTTTTTAGTACTCTATTTAAAATCTATCTCAAGTTTGGTGCAAGACTGGTGTCTAATACCACATTTAATTGCCAGTGCAAGTTGTCACAATTCATTTGGCAGTGGTATGTTGGAAAGTAAAAAGAAATGGCTAACGGGGGTTTAAAAAAAAAACGAGTTTCTGAAGGCTGAACCAGTGCAGTCTGATCATGTGAAAGACCGTCATTACGCCGACAGATAATAGGTCTGTTTGGCTGGATGGACTGTGGTGGCCTCCTAATGTGGAGATTATCATCAGTGTTTTGTCTGGGCTGTAGCCATTACATCTATTCTCTTTTATCCTCTGTCTTTCTCTTTATCTCAGACAGTCATTTTGCTCTTTAGCCTCCCCGTCTATCACTCTATGTATGGAGGACCCTGGGGATATCACACAAAACAAACATTGTATCACTCTGTGGTCATGAATACAATCAGAAACACAAGGCATTTATTCTACATGTGGATACCGTTATACAGCTTGTTCCCTTAGTTGGTGTATAGGACATTTTCTAAATTCGACATCTCATATTAAAGTCTATATTTCGTTACACTTCTTTGAAGTTACCGATGGGAACAATGACCCAGTGACTTCATACTTTTGCTGTAAGCAGCAGTGAGTGCCTCCATTGTTACACTGGATTACAGTAATAGCGCTCTTTCAAGTCTTTCAAAGGGATTAATGCAGAATAACTCCTGTTGAGTCACCTCAGAAGACCAAACCAAACTGATGAATACAGTTTGACATGTCAGCTTGTAAACTTAAATCTGCACTAATTCATATTTTCATGTTCACAATAAGTTCATTTTCGATGTTTCACTACAGGTCCGCCCAGCTATACAAAGCATTTTAGCATTTTTTTTAGCTCATTGTTTTGGTTTTACTGCCTTTAATTTCTTCTCACTTCTACTGCTCTTATAAGATTCATTTTCAGATGCAGAGGTCAGCTGTTATAGCAAAAAAAAGGCTACCTGCTACTGTATCTTAGCAGCGTATTTAGCAGCCAATGTTAAGCCAGCTGTTTTTTTTACAGGGTCTAAACAACACTAAAAGGAGAAGTCAAATAAAGTAAAAAGGGAAATGTTTGCAAATTCTCAAAGGATTAAACTGAGCAAATAAAATGTTATTTCTTGGCAATCCATTAAATTCTCCCTTGAATTACAAAAACATTTATAAAATATATTATACTATTTTAATTAATGGCCCAAAATGGCCAGATTGTTAATTAGAAAGTACGAAATATGACAATTGTGGACACGGTAAAATACGTTAACTTTTTCACCAACGGATGTATTTTCCCACTCATTCTTAGTTAATCAAACACTATATAAAATCTTAAGGGCCAATTAGAGCTCAGAATTCATTTTTTCAGGGTTAAAAAAAATCCTGATTTGGTTCAATGAAAGATGGATTTACCATGTATCAAATATTGTATAAAATGGGGCGATACTGCTGTCCATAACACAAAGCTGACAGTAATTCTCTGCAGGTGTTCGGTTACTGCAGGTAGGACTGAGTTTCTCCTCAAGCCTTTGGTCCCTCCCTGGCTTTTCTCATCAGGGCTGTAATCCCAGATGGAGTCTGCTAAATAGCTGTGTTCTGATGTCACACACACACACACACACACACACACACACACACACACACACACACACACACACACACACACACACACACACACACACACACACACACACACACACACACACACACACACACACACACACACACACACTCAATCTGACAGTCCTTTCAATCCATGCAGAAGTCCTATAGAGTCCTGCAGTGATGAATGTGAGAGTCATTGAACACATTATGCATGCAAAGTGCCACATTGTTACACACACACACACACACACACACACACACACACACACACACACACACACACACACACACACACACACACACACACACACACACACACACACACACACACACACAGCCTAAATTATGACGATGCTGTTACGAGATTCTTTAAGTGTCTCAATAAGTCGGTTTAATATTGACTGTAGGCACCAATATATTTATCAAATATTTCCTTGGTCTGCCTCCAATATTGCCACTTCCTCTTCAGGTGGACAGCAAGTACAGTGATGGGAGGCGGAGTTGCATTATGGGAGGAAATTATGTATAACAGTGTGTTTATTTGCACTAAAGTAAGAGTGATTCCTTAATGAAATCCAGGGCGGGACTGTTTACCCAGAGCTCTCCAGTGAACAGTGAGGGCACTGTACTGTGCACGGTGGCTGCTGGAGAGTGTGCTGGCACTGCGTGGTCACACACACACACACTGCACAGTAGCAACACCCATCTGTTTGCAACTCACTGAAAATATTTCCTGTCTGCTGCTCAGCTAGATTTTTAATCTCGTAATAATAATAAACATGTCAAATATAAGACACATTTTGGATCAGGCTTTCGATGCGTGCACAGACAGCTCTGCCTCTTTCTTACACACACTAACAAACACACCAGAGTTGCCCTTGGAAATCTGGAAAGTTTGTGAATTAATAAAAGTGTATTTAAAGCTTCAAATATTTTTGAAATTGACATTGGAAATGTGCATGAAAGGGTTTGATTTTTAGCCTTGTTCGCAGCATAGCTTCATATTGTATTACGGTATGTCATTACACTTCATGTGGCTGACTCAAGCCTTGCAATAAGTGTGCCTGTAGGGGCAGGGGAGGAAATAGTACTTACTTAACCCCAAATTGCTGCTGTAGGTGTGTCCTACAGTATTGAAGTGCATGGAGGTCCCTTTGGATAAAAGAGTCAGCTAATTGACATGTAATGCCATATAGAAATGGCTATGTCAGTTGGCCTTTTTTAGTTTAAATTGATAACTTATGGATATATTACTCAATACTTCAAATGCTTCAAAGGGTGACATAAAGTTAGATGTGTAGTTTCTTGCCAGTATCTCCTTTTACAAGCGCCAGCATTGAATAATAGAACAAAATGTATCTCGTCAAGCAGCTGAAGATTTGGTAGAAATCAAACTTCATAAAAAAGTCTGTCTCTTTCTTTGTCTACCAGGATCCGTCCTCAGTTGGCCAAAGAGAAGATCGAGGGCTGCCACATCTGTACCTACGTGATGCCCGGCGAGCCGCAGGTGTTTCTGGGTAAGGACAAGGCCTTCACCTACGACCACGTGATGGACATGGACTCCCATCAGGAAAGCATCTACACCAACTGCACCGAGAGTCTCATCGAAGGCTGCTTTGAGGGCTACAACGCCACCATCTTTGCATACGGACAGGTTGGTCTCCTGCATGCTCCTACTTCAGCAAACACATACATTGCATCACTCCAAGGGAGGAAACTACTCTCCAGTGAGGTTAATGGCAGCATGTGATATGAAGCTTATTTTACTTCATATCATCAGACCAGCTAGGAGGGAGTGAACAGGCCTCACAGTCAATACAAGATCAGCTGACATGTTCCAACCTGCCTTCACAAGCACAGCTTTATATTGGCTCTGATAGATTAGCCTCAGAGGTAGAAATGGAGTTTATTACCCATAGTAAAGTGTGAGCAGATTGCCTCACCAAATACCAGAGCAGGGAACTCAAATGAAAAGTCAAAACATCACCCAATGGATAGCTTTACAGTTACAGGTTATCTTGGGGGGGGGAATATCCTTTTTTTTACATATTTATTCTTTCTATTCTAATATCTGTATGGTTCATAATAGCTTACATTTTTTTTACACTTCATTTCTGTATGGATTAAGCAACTAAAACTAGTGAGCTTTTTATGTGCCAATTTTGTTTCTTTCCACCTCCTGTTTTTATGCTATGCTAAGCTAAGCTAACCCACTTCTTGGTGTAGCTTCAAATTAAAGAGACAAACATGATAGTGGAATCAATCTTTTGGCAAGTATAGGCAAATATGGGTATTACAAAAAGAATTGAATTTTTAAAAAAATAATCTATCGAAAATAAACCGAAGTATACTACATTTTTACACCAATGCATAGCAGCAACTTGAAGGGAAATGCATAGCTCAAGTGTACTTTAAATTAATATTTCCATATACTGCTTGTTCTGAGATTACTTTTTTGGACCCTGTGATAGAGTGAAGGCCTATACAGACGTTATGGAACAAGCAAAAGCAGGTGCAATAACATCAAAGCCTAATGTATACAAAATAGTTTCTATAAGCCTTTATTGCATAATGTAAAGACTGAAAAGAGAGAGTAGACTTCCTGCTTGACATTTCCCACTGCAGCGGTTACACTTCCCCTCCTCTTAATCGTCCCCTCGGCTCTTCTGCTTTCTCTTCATTATTCTCTCCTCACATTGTTCCTGCAGCCCTTGTGTTCCCGTCAAAGAGCCTTTCACAGTGCACCGTGGAGGCCTCACACACACATGCACACACACACAGGAGCATGTGCACAAACTCAGCACTCACACAGGTGTGGTCTCACACTGTCTTTCTCTCTATCTCTCTCTCTCTCATATATCACACACACACACACACACACACACACACACACACACACACACACACACACACACACACACACACACACACACACACACACAAAAACACACAAAAACACACACACTCCTGTCAGGGTCTCTTTCAGTTGTTAGACGGGGAGCAGAGGGGGATGATGTGTGGATTTGAGCTCAATGTTGCATTCCTCTTGTTGTCACCACGGCGACAACCACATCCCCTCTGACCCCCCTAAGTTAGAGAAACCACTCAGAGATGCACCCCAACATCTGAGTCTCAGAATTTAGTTTTCATTTCATTTCATTTCAAACCTTTATTTAACCAGATTGGTCCCATTGAGATCATAGATCTCTTTTTCAAGGGAGACCTGCAGCATATAGGTTCCACATGAAACATAAAACAATAAAGGACATTATACATTATATTTACAGGATACATTTACATAGTTATAGACATTTACAAGTGGCCATAGTATCAACGAGCATTTCATTTAGCCTAGCTTTAAAAACATGCAGAAGAATGAGATTGCTCAGTTTCAATTCTTGCTGAAGATTGTTCCAAGCAAGTGGCGCTGCGCACATAAAAGCTGTCTTACCTGAGACAGTCCTTGCTCTTGGCACATCTAACAATACTACATAATGCGATCTTAGACAATAGCTGCTTGCAACTCTCTGTGTTATCAGAGAGCAGATATAATATGGGAGTTTACCCAACAAAGCTTTATAAATAAACGTGTACCAATGACTGAGCCTCTTTACAGTAAGTGATGGCAGACCTGCCTTGGCATACAGGGTTAGTTCAATGCATGAATGAAAACGGATGCAATCATCTTCAATTACAATACTTTATGACAAATACGACTGTTTGGTTATTAATTCATTTTGTGATGAGTAAGATTCAAATATTTGTTGTGTTTTTTAACCCCATCACAATTAAAAACAAGCAAAAAAATATGCCAAACCCTTGTGCTTATTTTATTGAATGACAAATAATAATATAAGCAAAAATACTTTAGAATAACAGAATCCTTAAAAATAACTAACTTAAATTAAACCAAAAGATGCATGTGGTCCTTGAATAAAAATGCCATACTGTTAGCAGAGTAATGAAAAGTAATGTAAACATTTTTAAAATGACCATAGCCAAAACCGTTTCCATATCTGTACTTCATGAAAATAAATGCTGTAAGCGGACTGCCTGGTTACTATAATAAAATGACTTTACCAGCATCTGTGTAGGGATGATTCTGTCTCAAGCTTCTCGATCCATGTCAGCAGTTTATATGCTGAAAAAAACATGAAACCACATTACGAACACTCATAATCAGAGCTGACATTATTGATGACTCAGTCTTTTCCCCCACGTCCAGACAGGGTCGGGGAAGACGTACACCATGGGAACCGGCTTCGATGTCAACATCGGAGAGGACGAGCTGGGTATCATTCCCCGCGCCGTCAACCACCTGTTCAGAGGCATCGAGGAGCGCAGACAGACTGCCACCGAGCAGGGCCGGCCTGTTCCCGAGTTCAAGATCAACGCACAGTTCCTGGAGGTGCAGAAACACACACACACACACACACACACACACACACACACACACACACACACACACACACACACACACACACACACACACACACACACACATGTACACACATACACACATACACACACACATACACATACACATTTACACACACACACTGAGGAAGATAAAGAAAATGCACTAAAATAACCTAGAAATGGATGCAATTACCAGCACTTAAATCATCCAGGCCACTTAAGCTCCATTAGAGAGATGTAGATAGAGCATGCAGACAGCAAGAGGTCAGAGGTCAGCAGAGGGTGTAGGGGTTTCAGGGCGTTAAAGCGTCCAGATGACCCTTCAGCCATTAAACTGTCATTAATCTGTCTCAGTGATCAGCTCCTGGCTTTATTTGTAACCGCCAACGAGTGTCTGCTAGCAGCTGGTGGCGAAGCAGCTGAGGGGGAAAGATGAGTTTTAGAAGTGAAGCAAAATAATAGATGTTATAATGACACCGACTGTTTTTGAAATAATGTGTACTTTATTTTTTCTGTTATTTATTAATCCTACTTTTCAGTTATACAACGAGGAGGTGCTCGACTTGTTCGACTCGACGAGAGACATCGAGGCCAGGAAGATGCGATCCACCATCAAAATCCACGAGGACGCCAGCGGAGGCATCTACACCGTGGGGGTCACCACCCGCACCGTCGCCACTGCAGAGGAGGTCAGCTTTAACACTCGGGAATAATAGTTTTGCTCTGACCCCATCTTCGTCCATCTTTTTGGGCTGTATTTACTTAGAATTGGATTTAGAAAGCATTGTATTATCATTATATCCCCATCCGAATAAACTTGTTCTGAAATGGATTGATACTCTGCTCACCTCACTATGAAATTAAAGGCTTCCCCACTAAGGACAACACCAGGCACACGGAATTATGAGATATAGCCATAAACTTGTTTCATATCTCAATATTACTTGTTATAGGTAAACAAATAAAAAAGTGTACTCAGTTCCCATACTGTCCCTTTTAGTATACTGCTTAAATATAACTACTTGTTGAATTAAAACAACTAGAAATACATTATTTTCAAAGTCAGTTTCTCACAGCACTGAAAAACTACATTTTACATTTTCAGTAGCAACCACTCCATGTTACTGGAAAAGCCTCCACATAAATCTCTGTGAACTGAGGCACTACTTTCTGCTGAAAACATATTCCATATTCCATATTATATGTGGATAAATGAGGGCACGATGAGAAAAATAGACAATATATTACTAAATTGTTCTATACAAATCTCCACACAGTTTCTATATGAATATCATCAATTAACCTGAACATTTCTGTATGTTTTGTTAAATGTCCTTCCTCTCTCCCCTGTGTATTCTTCTACAGATGATGCAGTGTCTGAAGCTGGGCGCTCTGTCTCGTACCACCGCCAGCACTCAGATGAACTCCTCGAGTTCGCGCTCTCACGCCATCTTCACCATCCACCTGTGCCAAGTTCGAGTCTGCTCTCCTGACAACGACGTACGTACTGTCACACACAGCAGTGGATCTCTGCTAATCCTGAATGTAGATTTCACTGATGTTTTGCTAGACTGAGTTGATCATCAGCTGCAATGTCATTATCAAACCTTGCTGAAGATTGTATCCCCTTGAATGTCTTCTTCTTCCTTCTCCTTCAGGATAATGAAACAGACAACCGTCTAGCCGGCGACTCGGAGATCAATGAGTTTGAGACGCTGTCGGCGAAGTTCCACTTTGTGGACCTGGCAGGTTCTGAGAGACTGAAGAGAACTGGAGCCACAGGAGACAGAGCTAAAGAGGGCATCTCCATCAACTGTGGGCTGGTGAGGAAGCTAGGAGCATGTCTGAGTTAGATATTTTATGATACACTATAAAGGGAAGTCATAATCATATACTGTACTTAATCCATTATGTATTAAATGCATTACCCATCTTCTTATTGAACTAGTGGTCATTCTACAGTATGTCAGTGAGTGTCAGTTCATTTTGTGGAACAAGAGAGACCCCAGGTGGCTAGAAGATGAACTGCACATGTTTTACATAGCACAATGACCCCTATTTTTATGTTTACCCTTAAATACCAAATCACAAACGTGTTGTTGTTCCTTATCTCCTCTCAGCTTGCTTTGGGAAACGTCATCAGTGCTCTGGGAGACAGGAGTAAGCGCTCCACCCACGTGCCGTACAGAGACTCCAAACTGACCCGGCTGTTACAGGACTCACTAGGAGGAAACAGGTTTGTAAACACTGTGTCCTAATATTGATTTATCCTTCACAGTGGATCACAAACCATGTATTATGTTGCTGCAAAAGTTGACAAAACTGCTTTGTGATTAAGCTGTCTACAGAAGTGCTACCATTTTTAACCAGTAGATAGTACAGTATATACCAAAAAGAAAATTATCTGAATGTACAAAGGTTTTCATGCACCCAGTGGGTAAATTGTTTCCTTAACCATGGCAAAGGACATGGCAGAAAACAATTAAAATAAACCAATCATCTTACTTCATTTTTTTGTGTTCTCCAGTCAAACAGTGATGATCGCCTGTATCAGCCCGTCCGATCGGGATTTCATGGAGACCTTAAACACTCTGAAGTACGCCAACAGAGCCAGAAACATCAAGAACAAAGTGATGGTGAACCAGGACAAAGCCAGCCAGCAGATCAGCACCCTGAGGACGGAGATAGCCCGGCTGCAGATGGAGCTGATGGAGTACAGGACGGTAAGAAGGAGAGGAGATGGAATAAGACATAAGAGATCAAGAGATGGTTGGAAAAAAATATCTAATAATATTAATGATCCATCAGGGGAAGCGTATGGTGGGTGAAGATGGCATAGAGGGCGTCAACGACTTGGTCCACGAGAACTCCATGCTGCAAACGGAGAACAACAACCTGAGGGTGAGAGTGAAGGCCATGCAGGAGACCATCGACGCCCAGAGAGCCAGACTCACTCGCATCCTCAGTGACCAGGCCAACCAGGTCCTGGCTCGAGCAGGTGGGCAAAAAACGACATTATTAATAAGACCTAAAACCTGGGAAATGAGTAAGGAGTACTGCAATTCCGATTAACTTGTCTAAATGTGAATGGCTAGTTCTTCAAGCTAGTTGCTAATGTCAGTATGTAACTTGCTCACAATGACTGTGTGCTATCATACTGAGGCTTAGCAGGTTTGTTTACAGTGTTTATTTAGGGTGAGCAATGCATGCTAACAGTTGCTTATTAGCGCTAAACACAAAATACAGTTGACTGAAAAAGACTGGAGAGTCTTTTTATAATTTGACTTTAATAACAACCTATTTGAAAAACTAAAGTGATGCCTTTAATTCTAGGTGAAGGCAGCGAAGAGATTGCGAACATGATTGAAAACTACATTAAAGAAATCGAGGAGCTCAGGTATTTGCTGATTTTATGGTAGTATTTTATTGTTAATATTTATCCGCAGCCTTTTATAGTAATCTAAACACCTGACTTTCCCCCTTTTTTAGAGCAAAACTCCTTGAAAGCGAGGCAGTGAACGAGAACCTCAGGAAGAGTCTTGCTCGGGCCTCCACGCGCTCCTCGCTGTACACCGGCCCCGCCAGCTCCTTCTCCACCGAGAAGGAGGCCAGCGACGTCATCGAGATGGCCAAGAAAAGCCTGGAGAGACTCAAGAAGAAGGAGAAGAAGAAGAAGAAGAGGTATTGTGCCCGTCTCAACCATTCAAAACATAAAATCCACCAAAAACAATTATTGAATCTAAAATTCCTTAGAGGGGAATAGAAAAACACAAGCGTTGTGAAGAAGCTGAATGGGAGACTTTGGTTGTCTTTCAACACGGGGAGGGTGTGTGAACTGGTGTGTTGTGGGCAATTATCTCCTGGCTCCCTGCATTAGGATGTAATGCAGGTGTTTTATATAAGGGAATGAAGGATCAAATTAGACAAGATGACAGTGAGAGCTGTTTTCGTTGATTACGGTCTGTCGAGTTCTGGCACGCTGTAGCACACTTTTTATTGCAAACCAGGAGTCCGAAATAGTTTGAATTCTAAATGAATGTTACAAAGCCGCGCAGCTCTTAGTCTATTCTGTTTAAACCCTGTATTACTGCACAGATCAAATCCAGTCGTGGCTCTGTAGGATTGTTCCCAACTCGTTTGATTGACAAACATTTCCAATAACTTTTGAGTGTTGTAAAGTCAATAAGTCAAATGTATTAAATAGATTTGACATTTTCATCATTCATATTATTTATTATCCATATTTGTTGGCATTACGCCTTTTTAAAAAACAACAGTACTAGAACGGTTATCTCTCCTGCTTATGTTTTTTTGGTCAAATTTAGTTTTTGTCATCTGCTTCTCCATAAGCAGTGTTCATCATTTGAACACACTGTGTTAGTGAGAGTCTCTGCACTCCCACCATCCTTTCTGGCTGCTCTCTCACTCTCTGCCTTTCTCCTATTTCATAATATTCCCTCACTTGCCCCAACTTCTGTGGCCTGTCTGCCGTCTCCACCTCCTCCTCACCTCCACACCTCACCGTCCCCACTCCCATCCCTCTCTCTCTCTCTGAAGACTGAGGCGATGTGAGGAGAATCACCAGCAAGCGGTTGAACACACCAGGTTTGCTACATCCCACCCAGGATCGGGTCAAATCTGAAACTGGAGCGCTGCACATGTTGTCCTTTTGTGCTTGTAACGGAAAAGATTTCAGTTGATTGTTAACCTGTGGCCAATCCCAAATCTTCCTCCCTAAGTTCCTGAATAAACTAATAAACTCATTTCTAACTTTTTCCGCACCTACAGGTGGTTTACACAAATGTTAACCTGCTCTAACCTCTTCTTCTCAACCCGCTGTTCTCTCTTTTTCCTACTCACCGCACACAGCAAGATGTTGATCAGATTTTAACATAGTAGTGTCATAACCTTAAAAAAGGGTTTGACAGTGAGCAAAACATTCCAGGAGAATTACGTTTTTATGACGCTAGTCTGTACAATTTGGTCAACAACCCTTCCTCAAATGAAATAAGTTTGTTCTAACAACATTATGTTTTTCCTTTCCCAGTTTATCATTAAAACACTGACTCCACATCTTCTCCTGATCTGATCGAGTGTATAATGTAATCGTTTGCATGTGCACTTTACCCCTCCTTGTTGTAATTCAGTTAGTCTAAGCTGCAATATAATAACTCAGCCGGAAGCTGGCTAACAGTCTTTTCCACTTTCAGTGTCATCAAAGAGGAAGTGCCGGACAACGACCACGAGCGAGGCAACGACGAGGCAGAGGTCAAGTTTGTTGCTAGCTATTTAAAGGTCACACATGTCTAAAGTGGTATTTATATTGTTTATTTAATGCGTGTGTGATTATATGTCCACAGGAGGGCAGTGACCATGAAGAAGGCGAGGATCCAGATGGAGAAGAGGAGGACTTTGAAATGGCGGGAGAAGAAACGTCTGACGAGTCTGACTCCGAAGACCAGGAGGAGAAAGGTAAGATTAGCCCTAGTGAGAAAAGTCATTGTAGGTAATAAATTGCAAGATACTTCAGGAACTAATGATGAGTTTGTGTGCACAGAAAACGTCCAGGCAGACCTGGCCAACATCACCTGCGAGATCGCCATCAAGCAGAAGCTGATCGACGAGCTGGAGAACAGCCAGCGGCGTCTGCACACTCTCAAGCAGCAGTACGAACAGAAGCTGACTATGCTGCAGAACAAGATCATCGACACACAGCTGGAGAGGGACAAGGTGCTGCATAACATGGGTAAGAGGCATGTGCAAACAGATATCAAAATACACTCCTAAATGGATAATATTACGGTATTTTTTCAAGATTCAAGGCTTTTATTGTCATTTGTACATAGTCATGTCAATGAAAATCTTAGGTCACAGGCTCCTCCAACAGTGAAACACAATACAACTGATCAAATAGTGCAAGTAAATACAAATAAAATAGAAATAGTGCAAGAAGAGTCTATATACAAGTAATTGGAATATGATATATTAGATAAATAATGTGTAAGTTGCAAACAGATGAATGTTATGGATGTTCTTTCAAAAGTTCAGGTGTTTAACAGTCTTATGGCCTGTATTGTTTCCTTGCTCAGGCTCAGTGGGGTCGGGTACGGATGAGAAAGCCAAGAAGATAAAAACGGAGTACGAGAAGAAGCTGAGCTCCATGAACAAGGAGCTGCAGAAGCTGCAGTCGGCTCAGAAGGAGCACGCCCGCCTGCTGAAGAACCAGACGCAGTACGAGAGGCAGCTCAGGAAGCTCCAGCTGGATGTGACCGAGATGAAGAAGACCAAGGTAATCTAATAGTTTCATTTGTTTTTCAATTACACACATGTCGTTGCAGTGCTGATTTGTTCTCCTGCTGTGTTGTATTTCTCCACCAGGTGGTGCTGATGCGTCAGATGAAGGAGCAGCAGGAAAGAAACAGAGCCACAGAGTGCAAGAGGAACAGGGAGATCGCCTCTCTGAAGAAAGACCACCGCAGAGCCGAGGTGACAGAGATTGAAACATTCAACAAGTTTTATCTGATTAGCTAAACACATGAGTAAAAAGAGTAGACCGCTGTAAACTCCCTTTTCTTTCCTTATCCTTCCTACAGTGCCAACTGAAGCAGATGGAGACCCATAAAAGACAACAGGAGATGATTCTTCGCAGAAAGAACGAAGAGGTGAGACTCGCATGAGGGAAAATAGTTGACAATATCATATTTTGTGTTTTCATTTTACTCCAATATGCCTCTCTCTTTTGTGATCTGTTCCAGGTGACAGCTCTCAGGCGGCAGGTGAGGCCCCTGTCTGGGAAAGTGAGCCGAAAGGTGACACCTGAACCTCTGCAGGAGTCTCATAGAGCATCCCCAGGAAGGATGCTTACATCTGGAGCGTCCCAAGCTAATGGAGCAAGGTGCGGCATCCGAACGTGTTTATGTGTGTATCAGACAGTGGAGAGTAAAAGAGTTTTAACATGTCTATCCCCTCAGGAGCTCCCCAGTGCGGATGGGGAGTATCTACCTCAACAGGACGGCCAGGACCAAATGGCAGTCACTGGAGAGACGAGTCACTGACATCATCATGCAGAGGATGACCATCTCTAACATGGAGAGTGAAATGAACAGACTGCTGAAGGTAAAATGACTTCCTTTCTGTGTTCCTCACCATGTTTTACCCTTGACCTCGATAGCAAACGTGATGATTTCAGGATTTTGGACAACCACAGTTCTAAAAGAATATGACTTTAAATGTTGCTGCAGCAGGGAACTGTGGGGCGATATTATCTCCATTTGCTATCTTAAAGGATGGTCCAGTGTTTCAAATGCTAAAGCCAATGAGAAAGGAAGAATTGTATCAGTTTTATTTTGCATTTAGGGTATTCATCCACTCAATAGCTCTCGTTAATTTACCCAGCTAAGGGACTTTCCTTAGTACACATTTTTTTTCAGCAAATCATATGCCAAATTGAAGAGGTTAAGTTCTTGCAGGTCTGATACAAATGATAAATGAAAGCCATTGCTGTACATATTTCTAGATTTAAACTATATTTCCAAAAACCCAAAGTTATAAAGTGATGCTGTCAAATAAAGTTTTTTTAATTGTGCAAATCCAATATCCTCGTCTCTTCTTCTTCTATTGTTCCATCAGCAACGGGAGGAGCTCACCAGGCGACGGGAGCGAGTGTCCAGAAAAAGAGAAAAGATTGCGGTGGATGGTGCAGACGCCGACCGCTCCCTGGCCTCTCTGAACGAGGAGCTGGAGTCTCTGAGCGCCAACATCGACTACATCAACGACAGCATCGCAGAATGCCAGGCCAACATCATGCAGATGGAGGAGGCCAAGGTGAGGGGTGGGGGGGGTCCCAGGAAATCTGGTTCCTTGGTAGACATGAAGAAGTAGATATATTTTTGTAAAAGTATTTTTTGAATATTGTTGTTAAAGAAATTGTATGTTGCTAATATCATACCGAATTGTTGTCAAATGTCATGCAACATCCAATAACATATTTTACTCCTTAATCTCAACAGGTATATGTAAGCATGCTAATTTTAGCTTTGTAAGTAGATTCAGCTAGCATCGTAAAACCTGACAGTAAATATTAGTAATTTTTTGTTAGATTTCTACAGAGGGCTAGCATGTTTCCTGTTTTCAGACTTTGTGCTAAGCTAAACTAACCAACTGCTGGCGCTAGCCCTATATTTAACAGAGCAATAAAATAGTAATATCAATCTTCTTGTCTAACTCGCAAGAAAGTGAGTTGGTTTATTTCCCAAAGTGCAAAAGGTCTTCTTTGGTCAAATACAGTGTCTTATTACTGGGTTTCTCATAATGCCACTTTATTGATTGTGTTTTTATTCTGGGTTACAGGAGGAAGGAGACACAGGGGATGTGGTCGCTGTGATCAGCTCCTGTAATTTATCAGAGTCCCGCTTCCTTCTGGATCATTTCATGACCATGGCCATCAATAAGGTACCTACTGCTGACTTAATGTTATTTCAGTCTTAATGTCATCTGTGTTTGGGTTTTCATTCTAGCAGGTATATTCAGGTTTCTGCATGACTCTGGATGCAACTTAGTAAACCTGACAAACCCTTTGCTTTTACCTTTAAGATAAAAAAATGCAACCCCATCTTCGCATGTTAATATAGCACAGTTCACTCAGATAACGTGAGCACTGCTTTTTATATATATATATATATGATAACCATAACTGTGCCAATTTGATTTCTTTGTTATCATCTGTGTTGTTGGTTGTTATGACAACTTGAATACAATTTCGACTTGATCTCCCTTTCGTAGCCATGGCTCCTGTACAGGACGTAATGAGAATGTATTATCGTGTTAAAATTAGATTAGATTAGTAAGGAAATTAACCCAGCAGCATAGAACAAGAAAAAGACAAATGAAGAAATTGCAAATTGGTTTTGCCTGCTTCTCCAGTAATTTCTTCTTGTGTCATCAGGGTCTGCAGGCGGCTCAAAAGGACTCCCAGCTGAAGGTGATGGAGGGCAGGTTGAAGCAGACAGAGATCAACAGCGCCACCCAGAACCAGCTGCTGTTCCACATGTTGAAGGAGAAGGCGGAGATCAACCCGGAGCTGGACGCCCTGCTGGGCAGCGCTCTGCAAGGTCTGAAACATCCAATCATAACCAGTCTGAGCATGTCAATCATAACCATTCTTTCATGGCTCCATTTTATTTCGTAGGCCTAGAACAATTATGAAATAAATATACCTGGCCTGTGAAATAAAGTGCTGCCTTTTTCTCATCTTTGAGTTTGATTTTGATTTGTTTGCTGTTTGTTTTCTCTGTTGTGTGCTGTGAACTCAGAGTTAGGTTACCTGTCACCAGGTGAGTATCCGTTACAATGTGACTGTGTTTTAGAGAGCGGGGCACATGTACAACACAAGACTTCCAAAAGATTTAGACCATATTAAAGGAAAATAAACGATAAGATCATAAAGAAAATGTTACTTTACGTTTATAGCCTTATACATTTTGGTTCTGCATTTTGAAATTTGTAAAAAAAAAGTTAAGGCACATCGAATGCCTTTTTGTTTTTAAAGAAATTTGCATTTTTTACTAAAACCTTCTTTTTTTACCTATATAAATATAACTTAAGCGATAACATGCAGTTACATAGAAATATGTATACATGGTGAATGGTATTTATACCTCCTTTTATATTCAATGCAATAAATGTAATTATATTTTTAAAAGTAGATAAAGAAATCTTGTCGTGTGCATCAACCCGAAATCCTCCTTTGTGAAATCTAACCAAGTCGAAGTAACTCCGCCATAACGTGCATGATGTGTTTTGTTACGTTTCCCCCGTTATCCCACCTGTTAGCAAGTCCCACTCACTAAAGTCACTCAAACTAAAGAGAAAACCCCACGCTGCAGCAGAACTCGAAGCTGAACACAGCAGTTTGTGTGTCTGCATTTCTGTTTGTATCCGTCACGTGCTTTTTCCATTCTTCCTCCACACAGGACACACACTGTAGCTTCTGGTTGTGTTACATTAAAAGTGTCTCTTTTCTCTAAACCTTAACCAGGTGACCCCTGCCCTTGTTATGAGCTGCTGAAGCCTTAGTCATTGTTGTGCTGTAATACTCTAGCTTTCTGACTGGACGTTATCTTGTGTAAGGCTTCTTGAAAACACACATGCTTTTCAAATGTACTGAGGTATCCTGTTTTCCACAGAGAACGGAGATGACAGCAGTAGTGACGAGTCAACCCAGAGTCCAGCTGCAGAGGGCAGGTAAATACAGAGGGAAAAGCCGAGGTGGGATTGATAACATAAATTAGGGCTGCACTAGCCTTATTAGTATTGTTATAAAAAAAAGAGGTGCATCCTATCTCTCTAGAGTAGTAACACAGTGCTGTATTGATTTGAAGTCACTGGCTAACATGACATTGAAGCTATTGGAGAAAACTGAAATTATCTTCTATAAAAAAAATGTAAAATTGATTCATGAGTGACACATCAGTTATCACAAAGGTTGTGCCACATAACACACATTACACTATGCTTTGTTCATATGGTCATATTAGCATGTATTGGGTGATTGTTTACCCCTCACTTTGTTTCAGCACACTGGCATCGGATCTATTGAAGTTATGTGGTGAATCCAGACCCAGAGGCAAGGTACTGTACAATCCAACATGGCTAACTGATATACTGTAAACATATGATCCAATATGCTGTAATAATAAATAATACCAATTCTGTTTGACATTATTAAAACCACATATTTTTCCATTCAAGAGTCGTTATTTATAGGACCTGAATGAATGACTAACTGGTCCGTTGACTTGTGAGTCAGACGAATATTGAGCCAAACACTTGTGCTCCCTCAGGCTCGCAGACGGACCACCACCCAGATGGAGCTGCTGTACGCCGGCAGCGGGGACTGTGACTCCCCCACCGGAGACTTCCCCCTGCTGCCCCTCTCAGAGCGCCTGGAAGGGTCTGCGGACATGCAGGGTCACACTCTCAGTCAAACCCCTGACTGCGAGCAAGCTGTTCCTCCATCTGCACCGTCGGCCCGACCAGCTGGCATGTAAGTGTTGGGGGCAACATTTCCCACTGGAAAACAGATATATCAGGATATTTCTCTCTGTAATGTTTAACAATATTTCGGTTTTGCCTCCCATACTAATAATACAAACGTTTTCCGTCTATTTTCCTGCCTGCAGTTCTGGAGCCAGGTCACCTACAGGGACAGAGAGGAGGCCGGTGGAGCGTTCGCCCCTCAGCCGGAGGAAGGGGCAAGAGAAGGGCGCCACGGCAACGCACATCCCAGGACCCATACACACACATCCGCCTAGCACAGCAGAGGCTAAAACTAAAGGCAGTGACCACAAAGCACTGTGAGTAAAAGTGACATGTGAAAAGTGACAGAAAAGGATACATTCATATTCATTATAAGAATATATGTTCCTCTATTTTTGTGTTAAATATTTTATCAAACCTGATCACATTTAAATACAAATTTTTCTAATTTTAACCATTGAAATTGCAGTATTTTTTGCAAATTTCTATATATTCTGTCTATTTTCAGTCTGCTTTTTATCAATAGTTGGCAACAATTTAGATTAAAAAAAAATCTAGATAAAATAAATCCCAAAAAATGCAAAAAAACAAACATATTTAGATTTTTTCACTCAGCATCAGCTCTGCTCATAATTACCATACATTCATAATTTGTTTGGGAAATGTAACCTTATAAATTCCAGTTTACATAATATAGTTTTTTATGGAAAGACAGTAAAAGGTTATGATAAGATTTTGAAATGTGCATTTAACATTTTACTTTATATTACTTTGCTTTGTCATTCAGGTTGGAGGACTCACCTGTATATGAAGGCCATAGGTAACGTTCATCTCTTGATTGGTCTTTTAAAATAGGAATCGATTTGATGTCCTCTTTTTTAAATGCAAACATAAAGTTATCTCCATTTTTTTTCTACGTATCACATCCACTGTAGTACTACTAGCCATTAGTTACAGCTCTTACCATATCATGTGTGTTTCAGAGGTGTGATAAACCCTGTGACGGCCCAGAAGAACAGCCGCGGGGCCAAACTGCAGTGTATGTACGTAGCAGAGGGCCACACCAAACCTGTTCTCTGTGTAGACGCAACAGATGATCTGCTCTTCACAGGATCCAAAGGTAGAAAATGTCAACTCATAAAACATATTGCTCTCTCTATTACTTATTTAGTTTATTCCCTTACATACTGAATACTTTGTGTGTGTGTTTTCAGACCGTACGTGTAAAGTGTGGAACTTGGTGACGGGTCAGGAGATCATGTCCCTCGCAGATCATCCCAGCAGCGTCGTCTCAGTCAGGTATCAGAACGCAGCAAAGCACAAGCTAGATTTATAAAAGTAGAACTTAGTCATGGCAAATGGGGCGTTTTTGGGAAAATCACAGAAACAAACTCCAGACATGACACCTTTTATTATATATGTGAGGAATTCCATATCCTTATTAATTGGGGGAAATAACTAGGTTTAGAGTATGAAAAGTATATGCTTTATAACTCCTTGTTAAAACCTATTAACAATTTCACATAACCGTTAACATGTTTTTTTTAATTATCTATTTTTTTAATATTTTTGTATAGCATTTGTTTACTTGGTTTACTATTTACTAATAATGCCTGTTACCTATCATTGTGATTATGTATTTGATTTGTTTCATTATTATTCTGGAGGGGGTGAAATGTACATTTATTTTTCTGGAAAATCTAAAATGGCAATCAATATATTTGTAAAAAAATAAAAAGAATATGGTGATTTTGACGAATAATCATCCTTATTTGTTCTTTTTATATTTTAGGTACACTTCTAGTCTCGTCTTCACTGTATCCACTGCTTACATCAAAGTGTGGGACATACGAGACTCCGCCAAGTGTATCCGCACACTGACGTAAGAACAACACTTCTTCTGTCAACATCTTAAGCTGCACATATAATAATGGAGGATATCAAAGAATGTATTTTGCATCTTTGTGGATGTCAGGTCATCAGGACAGGTGGGTTCAGGAGACATCTGTTCGTCCGTCAGGAGTTTATCCATCCCACCAGGAGAGAGTCAGATCAACCAGATCGCTCTCAACCCTTCAGGCACCTTCCTTTATGCCGCCGCTGGCAACGCTGTGCGCATGTGGGACCTCCGAAAGTAAGTGCAAACACAGATTAGAGTCTAATAAGCATTTATCAAACATGAAGACAGAATTAATCTCCTTTCCTTTCTCTAGGTTTGCGTCCACAGGGAAGCTGACTGGCCATCTGGGACCTGTCATGTGTCTGACTGTCGACAAATTAGGCAACGGACAGGATGTGGTCCTCACTGGATCCAAAGACCATCATATTAAAGTAAGAGACACATTACATTACATTACATTGCATTTAGCTGACGCTTTTATCCAAAGCGACTTACAATAAGTGCGTTCGACCAACAAAATACAAACTTGAAGAAAACAGAATCATATAAGTACATCAGGTTTCATAGAGCAAAAACATTTCAAGTGCTACTCAACTGGCTTTAGATAAGCCAGTCCTTTATTAGTATATAAGTGCTTTGTTAATAGTTCTATCGCTCGAAATGGAGTCGAAAGAGATGAGTTTTCAGTTTGCGCCGGAAGGTGTTTAAGCTATCTGCTGTCCTGATGTCAATGGGGAGCTCATTCCACCATTTTGGAGCCAGGATAGCAAACCCACGTGTTTTTGCTGATGGGAACTTGGGTCCCCTTCGCAGCGAGCTGTTTGGTTGATGCAGAGCGGAGTGCACGTGCCGGGGTGTACGGTTTAACCATGTCCTGGATGTAGGAAGGGCCAGATCCATTCGCAGCATGGTACGCAAGTACCATTGTCTTGAAGTGGATTCTAGCAGTTACCGGAAGCCAGTGAAGGGAGCGGAGTAGCAGCGTGGTGTGGGAGAATTTAGGAAGGTTGAAGACCAGACGAGCCGCTGCATTCTGGATGAGCTGCAGAGATCGGATGGCACATGCAGGTAGACCAGCCAGGAGGGAGTTGCAGTAGTCTAGGCGTGAGATGACGAGAGTCTGGACCAGAACCTGAGTCGCTTTCTGGGTCAGCTGGGGACGTATCCTCCTGATGTTGTAAAGCGTGTATCTGCAGCAACGGGTTGTAGCAGCTATGTTTGCAGTGAAGGACAGGTTGTTATCTAGGATCACACCCAGATTCCTTGCAGTCTGAGTCGGGGAAACAACAGAGGTGCCGATGTTGATTGTTAGGTCAAGAGTGGGACAATATTTTCCCGGAAGGAAAAGCAGTTCAGTCTTGTCAAGGTTGAGCTTGAGGTGGTGAGCAGACATCCACTGAGAGATGTCAGCTAGACAAGCAGAGATGCGTGCGACGACCTGGGTCTCTGAGCGGGGAAAGGACAGAATTAATTGGGTGTCTTCAGCGTAGCAGTGGTATGAAAAACCATGCAGGCTAATGACAGATCCGAGCCAGTTTGTGTACAAGGAGAAGAGGAGGGGACCAAAAACAGAGCCCTGAGGGACCCCTGTAGTTAATTGACAAGGGTCGGACTCCGACCCTCTCCAAGTAACCCTGTAGGTGCGGTCTTTGAGGTATGAGGTGATGAGGGAAAGTGCAGAGCCTGAAACTCCAAGTTCTTTGAGAGTGCGAAGGAGGATCTGATGATTCACCGTGTCGAATGCAGCAGACAGGTCCAAAAGGATGATGACAGAGGAGAGGGAGGCTGCTTTAGCCGTGTGCAGTTCCTCAGTGACAGCAAGGAGGGCAGTTTCTGTGGAGTGACCTGCCTTGAAACCAGACTGGTGCGGATCCAGAAGGTTGTTCTGATGGAGATAACAGGAGAGTTGTTTAAAGACAGCGCGTTCAAGTGTTTTAGACAGGAACGGGAGGAGAGAGACAGGCCTGTAGTTTATAACATCAGACGGGTTGAGAGTGGGTTTCTTTAGGAGAGGGTTTACTCTTGCCTCCTTGAGACTGTTTGGAAAGTGACCAGAAGTTAGAGAAGTGTTGATGAAATGGGTGAGAAACATAACTGTGATTGCATTCTGTTTGTATTCCGCAAAACCTCACAAGATTAAGATGTATCATGGAAATATGTGTTTCCAGATGTTTGAGGTGGCAGAAGGCGCTCAGGGCAGCATCAGCTCCAGCCAATCATTCGATCCCGCTCATCAGGACGGGGTGGAGTCTCTCGTGGTGCACAGGGACGTTTTCTACAGCGGCTCCAGAGATTTCTACATCAAGAAGTGGGACTTAGCCAGTAAACGGCTGCTACAGGTACACTGATCACAAAGCAAAACATGTGGAGCCAGAAGATTTTCCCCCTTGATTTCATATATATGAGATCAAAAGAGTTTAAAAAACACAGTATGTCCACTGAAGCAAAAAGTGGCCAAATGGGCTCAAAATGTATATCAAATCATTAGATGGAGGAATAACATAGTCTTTAAAACTCTCAAAAATATATAATGTTTGTTTGTGGCAATAAATATGACTGAATGAGTTGCTGAAACTGAAAAATGTTCTGACGTACAGAAGTCTGCACTAATTAATGGGCTGTGGTTTCTTCTAGCAGTCAGTCAGTGCGCAGGCAGACTGGGTCAGCGCTCTGGGCATGGTGCCAGGCTCTCCGGTGCTCCTCAGCGGATGCAGAGGAGGGCTGCTACGCCTCTGGCACGCCGACTCACTCGCGCCCCTCGGCGAGGTCCGGGGACACGACAGTCCCATCAACGGCCTGGCCACAAACAGCAGCCAACTGTTCACTGCCTCAGAGTGAGTCACAAAACACACTCATCTGAATGTTCTGTTCTTTCTCATTATCGTTAAACGTGTAAGGATTCTATTAAAGTTACTGAATTTTGAAGGTTGAAACGTGATTTTGATGTTGATTATAATCACCTGACTTTCGTTATTTTACTGTGTGTTTTTCGGCAGTGATCGCACAGTAAAGATTTGGGAAGCCAAAGGATCTCTGGAGGAAGGAGTCCACTGACCCCTGCTTCCAAATCATCACAGAACGTACCTGAAATCAAGGATGATCTGCAGGCCTTTATCCAATCAAAATGAATCCTTTGTGAAACAGCTACACCACCCATGACTTGATGAAGTGTTGGAAAAGGAAACCAAAATACTAATAATTCCCGAAAGTGTGAAAGTATTTTAACAACACTGGTATTTCAGTGATGCCCCACATGGAACAGTATCAGGGAAGTCTAATTAGATATGACGGCTCTCAGTCTTAAAAGCTGAGTGTATCTACTAATATTTTAGGTCAAGACAAATCACAGGGGAGCCCCTCTAAAACTCCAAGGACTACAGAACAGCTGAGATGGACAGCATCTTTCATAGCTGCAACAAAACACAATTAATATCGACTTTTTGTGTCAATCGATCCAGGAGTCGCTCCTGTGCTTTCAACATTCCTCTTCTCCGTTCAGCGCTAGACAACATGGATACCTTCTAAGCATATTTCACTGTAGCTGGAAAGGCAAAAAACGTGTCTTGGTGAAATGCTTTGCTTCCTTGCACCAATTGTTGGTTGCTAAAAGAGTCCCAAAACATGAAGATGTCCTGCTCACCAGCAATAACTGTGAGTCTATCCTAAGTGTTTCCATGATGCGTGATGTGTTGTGTCTTCCTGTATTGCTCTCCAGTTCGTTCTTGGTTTGTGTGCTCTCCGTAAGCAAGGACCAAATAACTATTGAAGTGGAGTATGGTCTTATTATTCAGCTGTTACTGCCAACCCTCTCATGAGAGGCCTCTAAATAAAACATATCCTGCTCCTTTGACAGGGTCTGACAAAAAAATGTGTTCAATAGTATTCATCATATCAACTGCTGACTGATGTTATGTTTATTTAAATATGTGTATCATGGCTCATCACTGATATTATAGCCTATTGCCTTACAAAACCCAAACGCAGTAACTGCAAACTAAATATTTTTGCTTTAGCTTCCTTGTCTATTTTAACTGATGAACTAGTCTAATGAACTCTTGTATGATTTAATACATTTAAAAGTGTAATTTAAAGTGGCTTGACTACAACAAATCATGAAGATTCAGTAGCGACAACAGATACTGCTGGTCTGGCAACCCAGTCTCACGGCATTTCGTGTTCACCAACACGATTTTTAATCTATTGATTCGTGTTCACCAACACGATTTCCCCCTTTTTTTCGTGTTGCACAGCACGATTTTAAAAGCAATGTATTTCTACTGGTAATGACGCTCATGGAAGCACGGCATTCGTTTGTGTCGGCTGCCCTTAAAGGCAATGTGAGCGTCCATTCTCATTGGATAACGGAGAATTGTGCACCCGGAAGTAAGTATTCCCCTTACTGTCGATTGACAGGAAACAGAAAAGACAAGTTAGCTCTCACTAGCTAGGCTAACTAGCTAGCCTTAACAAGGGGTTTTTACTTCCCAGTTTTTTAGGATTTGTAAATTCTGTGGCATAATGATTTTGTAGCTGCTAAATCAGATGTCAAAAGTAACATTGATCAGTCAATTTATAAAAAACATAGAAGATTAGTTGCTGCGTTTTGGCTTTGTATGGCAGCATAGCTTTTCAAGCAAAACTATTACCCTAAATATCAACCCTTATCTGTGAATCAGTGTTAAAACCCAGGCAGAGTAGCTGTTACATCTGGATTAAAATGACCTCAATGTTTTTCCGAATGGCTTCAATATTTCAGTCTGATTTATTCACAAGTAGCAGATGGGTTTCTGCTTTCAGTATTCTCTGGGTGATAGACAGTTTCCTTTAAGCATTTAGTTTCCTTCGCTGAATCCTTTTTACTTTCCTGTCAGCATGCTCCTGTCTGGCAAGGAAACTTCACTTCCAGGGTTTTGATTCTTCCCATTGAGATTTACTTTCCCGAACCTAAGTAGCTGTGCAAGTATGGCTCTGGTAGCAAGTGCTTTAGTAAACTTTTGCTGGATTCTTAGCTATTTTATGACAAGAGAGGCTGTTTGTTATATCATGAAAGCACCTTCAATTCCTGATCATGGGACGTGAGATTTATTTTGTGAAAGCATCTACCCCTGAAAGATGTGTGTATGTTTGTGATTTCAGTCCAAATGATGCGAAACACTCATCTCATTTCTCAGTCCTGTTCATCTCAACTCAGTGTTTTCACAAATGTTTCAATACTCATATCAGATATCATCCAATCTTTTAAATGTGAGTCTTAATTTATTTATTCGTTTGATCGATTTTGCTGATGTGTCTTCTTTGTAAATCTGAGATTTTGAACTCATTCCTTCCTCTGATATCCTATCATTGTTTAAGATGAACTGCGTGAAATATACAAGATGGATTTCTGCATAATGAGAGATGAATTATCAGTGCCTGTAATAAATTCAACTTTGGAAAGTGACTGGATTGATTGGATATTCGAGGTATGTTAGTGATGCTCTAGTCAATAGGACAACAAATAATTGCACTGAAAAATCTAATTATTCCCCATTGCCTCATAGCAAGTGAATAGATCAATGACTGAAACTGGTTTTCACTTTTGACTTGAATTGCTTAATGAATGATTTGAGTGTTTCTAATTCCTAATGAATCTTCTTCAAATCGTGATTATCCTTCAAAATGTTACTGTAAATCTGTTCTGTAAATACGTGTTTTCTCCCTGCTGATTCCCGTGCACAATTTCATGTGATTGAAATATCTGGTGCAGTGTGAAAATACATTTTCAAATAAAAAAATGTTGTTTTTTTTTTTTTAACCATGCATATGAGCGTTATGACCACAGGGTGGTAGTACTGTACAATGACGTGTACTTGTAATCTTATTGGATTTGATAAACTGGCAATTTTTGTTTCCCTGTATCCTCGCAAAAATTTACATAATCTCTGTTATGTTCTTTCCTCACTATCATCATTTATCTGCTGATGTTTCCCTCCTTCAACAACAACCAGAGGCAGTAAACTGCAGAGGTGGGAGTAAGTCCTACATGTGTAAGTCATGAGCAAGTCTCAAGTCTCTTACTCCTGTTCTGGCTGCCTTACACTGGCTCCCTATAGAACACAGGATATCATTTAAAATTCTTCTTCTCGCCTACAAAGCCCTTAATGGGCAGGCGCCATCTTACCTTAAAGAACTCATTATACCCTACTGTCCTACTAGGGCATTGCGTTCCAAGAATGCAGGATTGTTGGTTGTTCCTAGAGTCTCTAAAAGTACAATGGGAGCCTTTTCTTATCAAGCTCCACATTTGTGAAATCAGCTTCCAGTTAGTGTTCGGGCGGCAGACACCCTATCCGTTTTTAAGAGTGCGCTTAAGACCTTCCTTTTTGATAAAGCTTATAGTTAGGGCTGATTAGATTCAGCCCCTAGTTTTGCTGATATAGGCTTAGTTTGTCGGGGGACATCTTACTTCTTCCTTCTCTCTGTCTATACCTGTGTACTCTCATGTTCCGATTAACCCAGCTTCCCCAAATGTCTTTCTTTTTGGTGTCTATATACGCCGGGATCCGGAGTCATGGATGATTCTGCGGTCCTGTGTCCTGGATCGCGAGCCCTGGATCTTGAGTCGTGGCTGTGGTCCTGGATCATAGGTCCTGGATGGATATCCTCGTGGATTCATCTTCCTATTATACACACATGCATTTCCAAACATTTGGACTACCTATGTTGCAAATGTATTATCTTTTCAATTTACACACAGGGTGTGAATATCTCTAAGGTTGTGGTGACTGATGTTGCACTCTCTGACCATTCCTGTGTTTTCTTTGAGAGCTCTATTTCTGTTCACAAAAATGTTCAAAAAGAGGTAACCACAAAGCGATATTTAACTGAAAATACTAGGGAAATGTTTACTCAGAATTTCTCTTCCACACTTGCCCCTGCCAACATCTCAGTAAATGAGCTAGTAGATCATTTTAATTCAAAAATTAAAAATGTTATAGATGCCATTGCTCCAACTAGATTAAAGGTAGTGTCTGGCAAGAAAATATCTCCATGGAGAAAGGCCATGACCGTGAAAACAGAAAAAAGAGAATGTCGAAAAGCTGAACGCAGGTGGCGAAAAACAAATCTCCAGGTTCACTTTGAAATCTATAAAGAGAGACTTGGCCTTTATAATTTGGAATTGAAAAACGCACGACAATCGTTCTTCTCTGACATCATTACCAAAAACAAAAACAATGCTCGTGCCTTGTTTGCTACCGTCGACAGACTAACTAACCCCCCAGTGTCAGTAGCCTCTGAATTTCTATCCACCAGGGCGTGCAATGATCTTGCCTCCTTTTTCACTGACAAAATTCAGAAAATCAGACAAGCAGTCAGTGCCTCTGCATCAGGAACAGCAAATGTGTTGTCCCTATCTCCACTTAACATCAATTCAGACATCATGACACAATTCCATCAGATTAATGATAAAAACCTAGAGGACATTATTCAACTTCTGAAATCCTCCTCTTGCTGCCTTGATATTATTCCAACAGGATTTTTCAAAGATGTTTTGCCTTGCATGGCCTCAGATCTACTTCATATAGTAAACAAATCTCTTCACTCAGGTATTTTTCCACAGGCCCTGAAAACTGCAGTCATTAAACCGCTCTTAAAAAAGAATAATCTAGATGCTTCAGTAATGAACAATTACAGGCCCATATCAAACCTGCCATTTCTAGGTAAAATCATTGAAAAAGTTGTTTTTCAACAGTTGAGTAATTTCTTGCATTTAAATAACTGTTTTGATGTGTTCCAGTCAGGCTTTCGTCCAAACCACAGCACTGAGACTGCTCTTGTAAAGGTCTTTAATGACATCCACTTAAACACAGACAGTGGCAGAACTTCAGTGTTAGTGTTATTAGATCTCAGTGCTGCGTTTGACACTGTTGACCACAGCATATTACTAGACCGACTGGAAAACTGGGTGGGACTTTCGGAAACAGTTCTGAATTGGTTTGAATCCTACTTAAAGGACAGAAACAACTTTGTTTCTATAGGTAAATACACATCTGAGTTGACAAATATGACATGTGGGGTTCCTCAAGGCTCCATCTTGGGGCCTCTTCTCTTTAACATCTACATGCTACCACTGGCTCAGATAATGAAGAACAACAAAATAAGTTACCATAGCTATGCAGATGACACACAAATTTACGTAACAATTTCACCAGGAGACTATGCTCCAATTCAAACACTGAGTAAGTGCATTGAACAAATCAATGACTGGATGTGTCAGAACTTTCTCCAATTAAACAAAGATAAAACTGAGGTAATGGTTTTTGGAGCCAAGTCAGAACGTATAAAAGTTAGCGCTGAGCTTCAGTCTGCAATGTTCAAAACAACAGATAAAGCCAGAAATCTAGGTGTAGTCATGGACTCTGACCTGAGTTTCAACAGTCACATTAAAACAGTTACTAAATCAGCCTACTATCACCTAAAGAATATATCTAGGATTAAAAGACTAATGTCACAGCAGGATTTGGAAAAACTTGTCCATGCTTTTATCTTCAGTAGACTCGACTACTGCTAATGGTGTCTTCACAGGTCTCACTAAAAAATCTATTAGAAAGCTGCAGCTAATTCAGAACGCTGCTGCTCGAGTCCTCACTAACACTAAGAAAGTGGATCACATCACTCCATGTTCTGAAGTCTTTACACTGGCTTCCTGTGTGTCAAAGAATAGATTTCAAAATACTGCTGCTGGTTTATAAAGCACTGAATGGTTTAGGCCCAAAATACATTTCTGACCTCCTGCTAAATTATGAACCATCCAGATCTCTCAGGTCTTGAGGGACTGGTCAGCTTTCTGTCCCCAGAGTCAGAACTAAACATGGTAAAGCAGCGTTCAGTTATTATGCTCCAAATGTCTGGAACAAACTCCCAGAAACCTGCAGGTCCGCTACAACTCTGACTACTTTTAAATCCAGGCTGAAGACTTTTCTTTTTGTCGCTGCTTTTAATTGAACTATTCATATCTTAGACTGCACTGTAACTTTTATCCATGTACTTTTTCTTTTAATGTTTAATTTAACTATTTATATCTTAGACTGCACTGTAACTTTTATCCATGTACTTTTTTTCTTTTAATGTTTAATTGATTAGCTTTTCTTTTTAATGACTGATTTTAAATGCCATTTTCTTAATCTCTTTCATTTTTTGTAAAGCACTTTGAATTGCCTTGTGTTGAAAAGTGCTATATAAATAAACTTGCCTTGCCTTACACACGGCATCTATTGCACGGCTGTCCGTCCTGGGAGAGGGATCCCTCCTCTGTTGCTCTCCCTGAGGTTTCTCCCATTTTTCCCTTTAAACTGTGGGTTTTCTCCGGAAGTTTTTCCTTGTACGATGTGAGGGTCTAAGGACAGGGGGTGTAGTATTGTCATACTGATATTCTGTACAAACTGTGAAGTCCACTGAGACAAATGTAACATTTGTGATATTGGGCTATATAAATAAACATTGATTGATTGATTGAAGTCTTGACCTACAAGTATCAAGCAAGTCCCAAGTCACTGTGGTGAGAGTCAAGCAAGTCAAGTCATTGCTCAGGTCAAGCAAGTCAAGTCATACGAAATTCTGATGAATAAGCCCAGTTTCCGCATTTAAATCAGTTAAAAGACAGTGGTTATGTAAATGGTTTAATCCATAATGTGATCTTCATTACATACACAGTTAATCATTTGAAATGTAATTTAGACAGATGACAATCATATTAGATTCATATTAACCCTAGAACTGCAGACAATATAGCTAGGACTCAATGAAAAAGTCTGTTCAAAAAGGCAGAATTCCAGGTAATGATCATATAGGACATACACACGGAGCCGTTAGGCCCCCCAGAGCGTTTCGTCCGCAGATCTACCCACCTTGGGAGGGACCCGTTACCGTTTGAGGGCTCCGTTTCCGAGGTTCCGTTACGGCCTCGTGTGGATGAACCGTCCATACGATAGAGAACTGTAGCAGATACAACCCGTTTCGTGGACGGGGCTCGAACTAACTCGCCAAGGAAATGATTAAACATATATATTTTTTCCAACATCAACTCTAAGATTAACCCTAAATAGTTGTCATTTTTATCAGAAACATGTCCTCTACCAGAAAAACAGTAAAGACAGTGTGACCTTCTATCAAACTATCAACGCCCAATTTTTGGTTTACTAATGACAAGTTCCTGGAATACACCTTCAACTCTAGCTTTCACATTTGAACAAGTCTTTGTCCAACCAGCTTCTCAGGATGTTTGGGAATCCTACTCACATTCTTGGCACATTATCATACAAGCCAGATGATTAAGTTCCACCATAAATCAATAACAACTTCTCAGACATAGAGCGTGGGAGAGAGTTCCACTTTCACTGTGGCATAATCCATGATGAATTTGGATAATATATCCTCTAATCTGTTCAGTGAACAAACACATTGATTTGTGGTGTGTGGGGGCTTACACCGGATGCTGTTGTTTCACAGTTAAATCCGTCTTTAATGCGATGTGTACAGCTGCAGGTGCTCTTTCTTTCCTGAGGGATTGAAATCCATTAAGGTTCATATTGGTGTGATGTCTGTTTATGTGTTTTTGCCAGACTCCCTTTACTAAAATAATGACTTGAAAACAGCAAGAAAATTGCATTTATCTAACCATGGAGCATCTTTTCAGCATTATACTCCCATTATTGTTTGGCCAAGAGTTGATGCATTAGAGTCTTTTACCATGCATTACATTGGTTTTAGCTTTGGAGGAAATCATGAGGGATCATTCGAGCAAGAATGTTTTTGTTTTCTTGACATTCAGCAAGCTACCTGCGCTAACACACTACTAATTTCCATTTCTTTGACAGCCAGAAGGAAACAAACGGAAAGACAGAAATGGTAGGAGAAGATATGGCTTATATAGACACAGAAAAATAAAAAGGTGTTGGGGGAAAAAAGAGGCAGAGACGGCTAAGTGGCAGTTAAAGACGTTTTTTTGAGCGCCTATGAGCCTCAGGAGGACAGGGTCAATATTCACCACCCCGGCTCCTATCTCTGAGCGTCCACAGAGTGAATCCTCCAGCTAAAAATACCAGCACCACGCGTTATGACCAGCACTGATGAGCCGTGATACTGCTGCTTGCTCTCTTAATGCGTCTACAGAATCCAACCTTGTCCCCTCTCGAGCAAAACAGATTGGAAAGAATAAAAAAATGTAATAAGCCATTAAAAGCGTTTTGGAGGCTTTGAATAAATGTAAGTTTGTACATCACAGTGAGAGATTTAGCTGATTTTGAGAGTGTTTGCTTTTTGTGTACCTTTCACAAAGGGAAGCTCTCCACATTAAATAATCTGCTCTTGATCTCTCCATGTAAGTGCAGGTGAGGATCAATTGTGTGAGAAGTGTCGTTGACTTTTGAAGCTGGAGTGCTCTCCACTTCAAATTTCTGCGTAGTCTAGAGTAAATGAGAACTAAACTACCTACCTTCTACACAACAGTGAATCAAGGCTTGGCTGTAATAGAAAAATATAAAGGAATCGGTTATCTTTTTTCTCTATACAGTTGAGGCAAATAGAAAGGTCATTTCTTTTACAGGTATTGGGCATGGATGTATAAAAAGCATGAAAGGATACAGTTGCTGACTTTTGAATCATGGGGTATTAACATTTTGCATCTTAAAGCTGTTGTTTTGGACCCATTTCTGCTTGATTTTACATAGACCTGCCTTTATTTAAGTAACGGATAAGCGAGGCAGTCATTATTGAAAGAAGAACACCACCATGGAGATTAAGATCCCAACGCAAAGTTGATTACTTATTATTCACAATATTGATTTTTAAATGAGGAAATAATTGTCCATTCCTTGCTTAATAACTTCTCATGTAAACATCAGCAAAGCAATATTTTTGGCTTTGTTGAAAAAGACAGGTATTTTTAAATAAATAAAAACACAATTATTGTACATTTCCTGGTTCCATTTCACACTTCTTGGCCAAACTTGTCTGAAACCTATCCAAATTGGCTAGTACGAATTTCTAAACTTCAAAATGGACATCTTTATTACTGAGAACTTGCTGATAATTTTGTTAACCACACTAGTGAGAATCTTGTTTAATATGTGAATACATTGACACAGTCACACTGCACTGCTAAGCCAGTGTTGCTCTGTGTGGTGCTACAGGGAATGATGTGATGCTTGCTCACACCAATGCCCCTTTCTTTCTGTCTGTACACCTTTGTGTGTGTGTGTATAAGTGTGTGTGTTTGTCTCAGGGTGCGTCCATTCATTTTTGACCCCCTCCACCCAATCCATCCATGTGGTGGCATGGTGTTTTGCCCAAAGGTGCCTTCATGGTTTTGGCAACCATGCAACAAGACAACTATATTTAGAGACGTGGTTAGCCAGTAAACACACTGAGTAATACTGAGATGTGTCATTTTAAGATCCTATGACTATGATCTAAACAAACTGCTCTCTCGCATTCTCTCACACACACACACACACACACACACACACACACACACACACACACACACACACACACACACACACACACACACACACACACACACACACACACACACACACACACACACACACACACACACACACACACACACACACACACACACACACACACACACACACACACACACACTTATGCTCATGTAGCCTATAGCAAATACAGTATGAATACTTGCAATGTGGTGATATGACACATACCTAATGTAAGAAGAGGTAGTTGTAGCTTTGATGCAAAACTTTTTTTGAGAAAGCCAGCACAATGTCCTCATAATGTGACTCTCCTTATCCCTTCACATTCATCATGCTGTCATTCTATTCTCGGCCAGAGGAGGGTCTCCCTTAATTAAGTTAATTAAATCAGATGCTTATCCTCATGGCATGGAGGGACAGAAATTATGTGTTTCTATACAAGCACTAATAATAATATTGTTAATAATACTAATAATCTCCTCTCAGACAGCTGAGACTACAAAGTGTGTACTCTACTGCTCAGGCACACATACACAGTCTAATTACTAATGGCAAAAAATGCAACTATTCAGTTTTTTCGGTAACTCTAGAGAGACCCTGTGTCAAAATGGTGTAACTTAAAGGTCCCTATTACGCAAAATGCTATTTTGTATGTCTATTTCACATAAATATGTGTCCCCGTTGTCTAAAAAAACAACATATTTTTTCCCCTCCCCATTCCCATTTTCTAAAAACAAAAGAAGGAAAGAGCGGATTTGGCCGAAACATGACATCAAGTGTCTTCGGCAGGTTGGCATAGACCATGTAAGTTGTTGAGTGAGTTAGCAACAGGTAACCATGGCCACCCCCAGGTTTCAGCAATGCAAGTGCACTCCAATGATTGAGTATTGCGGTCCCATTAAGTTGAGTGACTAAAGACCTTGTTGTTTTTTAATGGTGCAATTCTTTTACATGGCCATGTGTATTTTCGAAACTGTTGTTATTGTCATACTTGAACACAGAATGCAAATACTGTATCGTTAAAAGCTGCTTCATTTAATTATATTTGACTTTCAAATGTAATAAGTAAACACTGGATCCTACCACTTCCATAAATCAATAGCATCTTTTATTCATTATTTTGTACCCTTTCTGCCTGGTTACAACAACAACAACCTTCAAACTACACACCTGCTGTTTGTTACATGGGTTTTCATCACATCTTCAGGGCAATTTTGCCCAGGGCTGCCTAAAAGGTTATTCCAGCCCTGAAGGAAAGAGTGTTTCATGCAAAACAAAAAACACATTGAATTGAACTGAATTAAACTGAATTGAACTGATGTGTGAATGACAGTATTGAGGGCAAGGGAAATGTGCACCACACACACACACAGGAAATACTTTTCATGAGAAATGTCTTTTATTTCTCGAATGTTGTCTTACTGTTATTACTTCCATGCCAGTCAATCTGAGGCTCTGAATTCTAAATGAGCTGAGCAGAAGTCAACTGAACTGAACTGAATTGGGATAGTGGGAGACAGCCATATCGAGAGGAAGGAGATGGCATAGAGGCATAAAGAAAGAGGAAAGGGAGAAGGAGAAGAGAGAAACACCAACACACACGCGTGCGCACACACGCACACACACACACACACACACACACACACACACACACACACCACACACACACACACACACCCACACACACACACACACACACACACACACACACACACACACACACACACACACACACACACACACACACACACACACACACACACACAGAGAGAGAGAGAGGAAGAGAGAGAGATAGAGAGAAGGAGAGAGAGAAGTGACATCACATCTCCCAGCCTCTCTCTCCCTCTCCCCGGCACCTTTGCTCCACTTCTCGCCGAGGAGGCGCACACAGTTTCTCGCTATCCTCCTTCACCGCTCGTAAAAAGGGGTTGGACCAAACACGAGGAAAGAAAAGGCAAAACATTTTTTTTTGACAGCATGAACAACAGTTTCCTCAACATGGCGTCGATAGGAGACTTCGACCCGCTCAACGCGACTATCCCTGCCACCAAAGTTGAAATCACAGTGTCCTGCAGGTAGGGGAATGTCTCCGTTTAACTTGGGTTTAGTCTGACAGGCTTACGTAAAATCACCTGGAAGTCACTTGTACTTTAACTCAGTCCAAGTTGGTTTTAGTTTCAGCTTATAGTGTGTTAACATTTACGCTATTTATGGCGAGTAAACGTAAAACTGAGGCTAAGTAAATTTGAGAAGTGTGGTGCCACTTTGTTACTTTTACACCATTTAAAACGCTGTTAAGAATAACTATTTATTGAGGATTCTTGCATATAAACCATAGACTGTATATATGTTTATATCTATATATATAGCCTATATATAGATATAAACACAATTATATCAATATGTGATTCAAATGCAAAAACGGTAACGTTAAAAACCCAGTAAGGTCAGCGAAAACTGACTTTAAAAAGTAGCCTTCAATAAACACAGACGTCAGTAGCCTACTACATGAACGTTGCACAGGAATGTAACATTGAAAATAGGGACAACATGTGTTTTATGGCTATTGAAAACACAATGTCTTATACAGTCTCACTTACAAGTATATTATAGTAGTGGTACAATTATTACAGTTATGGTGTGTGGGCATGTGAGTGACATTGAATGCAGCGGACAGGGCTGGTGTGTAGGGTTTATGTGTGTAACCCTGTGTGAAAGAGGTCTTTCTCTGTCATTCAGGGAGGATTTTCCTCTCTGCATACGAGTAGGATAAGAATGCAGAGAATGTACTTTATTCTGCCTGACTGGTGACCCACAGCAGGCTACAGGCTGCACACTTCACAGGTTAGCCATATTTTCCGAGGAGCCCCCTGCAAAGGAATCCAATTAAATGTGTCATCTCCATCAGACAAAATAGGTCACATTACATCTGCTGGCATGTTTTAAACTACGTAGAGGTTGTTTAATACACATTTAGCTACCTGCCTGTCAAGAGGTTGCATTGTTTGGGAATTCCTCTGTGCATGTCTGTGTATCTGATGATGTAGATATGGCTTCATTTTGTTTTTCAGTGAAACATTATGTCTCAAGTTTCTTAAAACACTGCTGGCTGATGGTTATGATATTTGACAAGTTGAGAAATGTTGTTTTCATTAACACAATCTCGACCAATTTACATTGAGATACGATCACAATTTTAATGCGACACATTAAGGGACATTAAAAACGCCACATAAGTCGACATTCCATATCTCTTCTTCTGGTTTCAAGTAAATGGTTTAAAAAAAGTGTTGGACAATCAGGCCATCAATCAAAAGTCTGTGTTTATTGTATATTTTGGCCCTGTTTTCACTTGTGTTATAATTTCCCTAATGCTGGAACTATTCAAAGATTAAACGTTTGAGATGTACATTACTTGTCTTAGAAGAGAAGTGATACATTTGAGATCCCGATTATTTATCATTGTATTATTTATTGATTTTACATGACATGACAAGATATACTTATTGCACTTTAAAATGTAACTCAACAGAGCGTTGCTTTCACTGAAAAGTGTTTCATTTAGTATGCAGTGGAGTTTAGTGAAGCATGCATTTTAAGTGCAAATACTGCTTGTATTTGCTTAGTTGTGTGAAGACAAATTATTGGTCAAAGTTCATAACTTATTTTGCAAGCCTGTAGGATTCAAGATTCCAAGGCTTTATTGTCATATGCTCAAAAGCTACTGCTACTTTGGGAAATATAAATCCCTAAGTCCCAGGCCAAGACATACAAATAATAGAAAATAGTGCAATAAAGATATAATTTAAGATGGTGCAACAGAATGCTGAAAGTAAAATACACAAATAAGTAATCTCTATATATGTAAAATAGAGTACTATGAAAACAGAATGCAAAATTAGATACTGTACAGTGAAAAACAATACTACATATTTGAATAAAATATAAATAAAAACATTATTTTATTATACGTAGACTGTTAAAAGATGTACGTGTTCTATATTTAAGTAAAGACACTCAGGAGTTTAACAGTCATATTGGATAGATACGTGGAATATGACCTTCCCTTCATTGAATACTGTATTTCCAGCAGGTTAACACCATCTCCTTAGTAACAAAGAGACAAGACATAGTCCTGTAGAATATATGAAGACGTTGGGCAGAGTTTCTTAATGACTGAGTCACCCAGTCCCGGGGGGGGTGTTATGATGGCTATCCTCCCACCTCCAACCTGAGGTAGAATGCCATGGTTACTGCCAAGTCTGTGCACGCATACATGTTTATGTGAGCTTATAGCATATATGCTGTGCATGTTTGAAGTGCAGAAAAAGGGCAGTGTGCAATATCACCATGGTGACTACTTTTTCAAAGTTTCTGTGTGTGTGGGGGGGGGGGGTGTAAGAGTGAGAAATTGCAATGAGGATAACAATGGCTTAAAGGTGGGGTAGGTAAGTTTGAGAAACCTGCTCGATATACACTTTTTGTTATATTCCATGGAATGCTCTTAACATCCCGATAGCAATGGATATCTGAAGTGCTTTCACAAAAAATGTATACAAAAATGTCATCTGTGGAAGCCGTAGTACTGTAAAAAGCACGACCAATCATTTTAGCCGGCCCAGCTAAAGTAACTGGATGGCCTACCTGCCTGTCAGCCTTCCATCTGTGCACAAACTTATCTCGTGCCCTCATTGGTCATGTGCGCGTTCGTGTGTGTTGGAGGAGGGGCTCTGTAAGGAAGTGGCAGATTTTTTCCGGTTGTGTATTTTCAAATTCTAGCACACTCGAGCTGGTTTCTCCAAAATGATCTACCCCACCTTTAAGTGAGAGCAATATGTATTAATCGTCGTTATATCCGACATTTTTGATAATATTGTTTGTCATTTTACGGCAATTATGTCACTGTCGTTTATAATTGAACTAGAATGAGAATAAAGCAATTTAGTTGAGAGTGCATCTTATGGAAATTCTCGGCAATAAGCTATTTCGGCTTATTTCAAATGCAAATCAGCCTTCTTGAAACTGTTGAGATTACAGACTGGTTTTTAGATTTTAACAGCTGTTTCTGGAAAAACAGGCAATTTGCCAACAAGTGACTTAATCAGTTTTTGCTTACACTTTCAATTTGATATTCATTCTTATTTGTTTAGACACTGAAATGTTTCTTGAAGTAGAATGTTTTCCAACGAGGGAAAGAGAGAGGAACAGATATCCTCATATGAAGTAGCCCTCCTCATGTCATTGTGGTACAGTTAAAGGTGACATAACCATTGCTGAAATATTGACATATTCTCTTAGCCTGCGTCTCCAGCTAATTCAGATAAAGCTCTGACGCTGTGGGGAGATGAAGTCAGAGCTTGGCTCCGACTCAGCAGTGAGCTGGAGACATTTTGCTGATCGATGGAAGAGCTCCGCTGTGATCAATGCGCTGCCAGCTCCGCCTGCTGCGCTGTACAAAAGCACACATGCGTAAAAGCATGTTCACACATACTGTATAGGTCTACATACTGTATGTGAATGGGTTTAGACACAAACCATCCGTCACCTACTCTTGAACAGTCACAGAAGAATAAATTACTCCCTGTTGCACTTACCAGGGGACTGTCAATGGCCTGAGGTCCAAATATTCCATTATGTCATCGATTGGGCCAGAACACCAGCTGTTACCTATTCCGTCACACCCGGACACACACACATGTACACATAATGTGACTCCCTTAGAGTATTTCTTTGCGTTTGTGTCACGTATTGCAAAAATTATATTTTTTAAATGTGATAACTGCAACATTCTCTTGCACTATATTTCTATTTCTCTTTGTTCTTCCACTGTTTTTATTATTTAATGTCTTGTGTCTTAGGATTTTCATTGCAAAACTACACTGTAGCCATAAAGCATTTCATCGTTAAATATATATACATAGCAGAGCAGACAGCGAACTGTCACTCTAAGCGGTCATGCCCACTTACAATTTAACTTAAAGCTTTAATATTTTTTTAAACCAGTGAATTATATAAAAAGTCACCCCTCTCCAGTTGTCATGAACATGATATGTAGCTATAGAGACCAAAGCTGTGTTTCATACCAGGCTGTATTGTGTTTATTTCAATTATAGTTTGATAATTCGTTAAAGGCTTCACTGCTTGGACATGGCCTTAGCCTTTATTTGAACTACTTGTAAGAGCGAGGTAGACTGAAAATAAATATAATTAAACTGTATCTAATAGAGAAATGATCCCAGTACCAAGAGCAACCTTTGGGCATTCCCTACATCACAGATTGGATGAAAAATAAGTAAAAACTACTGAGCTGATTGTGTGTTTTAGTGATTGTTTGCTTAAAGGGATAGTGGAAATGGAACCTCAAATAGTTTCGTTTTAATTATATACAAGCATAATTACTACCAAAACAATCACACCTGATTACAAATATATAATAATTGCCTTACGCATGTTAGAAGCACTTTATTGCAGCTTCCCCGAAGTTTTTTAGAAACGAAATGTTCGACTCAGCCAAACCGGAAGTGACGAAAACTTAGGAAGACGATACGATAACAAACCATGGCGTCTATGCAGAATGAACGTGGAAGGGCAAATATACCAGACAAAGAAGAAGGATTGTACGAGGTATCCAGTGATGATAGCGAGTCAGAAACATCCTCTCGGCTTTCCTACGAAAATGTCGTTTTAGGAACTGAATCTGAATCCGGTTCAGTAAGCGACGATGGTGACAATATTGAGCCAGACGATGGACCATTACGTCCTTATTTGTTCGAGCCCGAGGTGATGGTTCACGGCATGGGCAATGGCGAGGATGACCAGGACCAGGCGCCAGATGATGCACCCCTACGCACAAATAATCTTGACTGGTAGGTCCCTAAGCATAGCTCACGCATCTTAAGATCACCTGTAGCCTTTACAAATATTAATCATTGTTAACCAGTTAAGCCCGAAGGTCCCCCCAGTGGACCCCTCCCACAGTTTTTTTTTCTCTCACATGTCTCAGGGCTTCTTAACATTTATGAAACTATTAATGTTTCATACCCTTTTAAAGGTAAGAAACTCCGCTAACTGACAA